TCCCACAAAGGAGGCCACACCCACAGAGTAGGTTCCAAAATTTTTTGAAACCCACCACTCATAAACACACAGAGAGAGAGACTCACACAGAAAGAGAAAAAGAAAGAAAGGAAGAAAAAAAGAAAGAAAAAGTGAGAGAGATGAAAGGAAAAAAGGAAAAAGGGACAGAGACAAAAGGAAGGAAAGAGAGAAAAAGAGAGAGAAAACACGTGGCTGGCAAGCCACTCCCACCAGGTCACATGGCCGGCAAGCCACTCCCACAAAGGAGGCCACACCCACAGAGTAGGTTCGAAAATTTTTTGAAACCCACCACTGACCTACATGTACTGTTGCAGTTCACAAAGCCAAACACCCCTTTTTTCCCCCCTGAGCATTTCCTTTTTATTGCTTTTTGTGGGTAGACTTGAGAATCCACTCTTAAAAAACTGAACACTGAGGAGAATTGGAACAAGGCGGCCACTCTGTATGGCAATAAAAAAAATAAACCAAATAAAGGACAGAAGCCAGTTTTTGAACAATAAATCTTTCTGAAATGAAGGACGCATAATCTTCGTAGATTATATACAGGAGAGACCAAACTGGTTTCAACAGATGTGTGTACCTGACCAGGTTTTGGCAAAATGCTTGCCAGATTTTTTTTTATAAACAAAGCGTGTCATTGGGTTTGTGTGGGACTTATTTTTAAAATACTGATTTGGCATCTTTTTTTTTTGTAAAAAGTTTTTTATTTTTGTTAACATAATAAACAATATTTTTGTGAACAGAGTGTTGTCCAAATTCCCGCTTTAACATCCCCATCAAAAAACATAGTTCAGTTTACATTATATCTCCATTATTTCCAATTTTAGCCGCCTTACTTTTCTTCTCATATTTTCTAATTTTTAACACATACAAACTGTATTTTTCCTTCTCTTTGAAGATAAACATCATTTCTTTTCCATCTATTTCCATTAACAATATGCATCTTCAAATTTCTAATTTCACGTTTTATATAATAACATAATTATTTAACAGCATTAAGGTCCTTAATAAAAATTTCCACATTTTCGAGTTAAAACATATTTTAACAAAGCGTGTCATTGAGTTCGTGGCGAACTTATTTTTAAAACACTGGTTTGGCATCCTTGAAAGCAAGGAGGACAGGACCAGTTGCGGCTTGTTTCTGTCCTGTCGTGCTTCCTTCAGGTTCAAAACCGGAGGGTGACCCTCAAAGCGGCACCCCGGCTGCGGCCGGGGACCCATCTCCTCTCGTGCCGGCTCCAGCAATGCCGCGCCGGTCCTAGGCACGGCGCCATCTCGGTCCTCCGGCCGCGAGAGGCGCAGCCACCCAGGCTGAGGGAAATGGGAGGAGGAGGAGGAGGCGGAGATGGGCGATGAAGAGGGCTGGAAAAGGGCCGTGAAAGCAGCCAAGGCTGGATCCGCGCTGAACTGCTCGGGCAGCTGTTGCTCTTCCCCACTGACCATGGGTAAGGGGCGCAAGGGCGGCGACCGGGCTGGGCGGGCAAGGCAGCAGGCAGAGGGAGTCTTCTGGCCCCACCGGCATTCCCCAGCCGATGCTGCTGCTCTTCTCCGCTGGCTGGCTGGGAGCCCCCCAAAATGGCTGGAGAGGGGCTGCAACCCAGGCCGCCTTTCCAGCCGACTGCTGGGTACCAACAGCCAGTCGGCCGCAGCAGGTACTTGCTTGCCTCTGCACCGCCAGCCCCTCGAGTTTCTGTGGTTGCGTGGGGAGGGTCGAAGTCCGCAGTCCTCGGAGACCGCCGGCAACGCCTGTCCAGGCGCCCTGCCCTCCATCTCGCCCCGCGGCTTCCAGGCCGTGGGGGGGACCCGGGTTGTCCCGAGGCGCGCGTGGCGCAGGATCTGGCGCCGCCGGGATGGGAATCTTTCCTTCCCCCTCGCTTTCCCCGCGGGGTTTTCCCCGGAGTAGAAGGGATTTGAGAGGCGAGCGATGAAAGGCGGGGAGCGGGGATGGCGGTCCCTTTTTTAGCTTTCCAGAGCCGGAGGCGTTTGCCGGGAGCTTCGGGAAAAGGGCGGCTCCCCGCAGCCCCAGAAGTCGCTTTTTGCTGGGCGGTGTGGTTCCCGAAAGCCCGGGAGGAGCATGAGAAGAAGCCTTCGGCTTAAAACTCGCCGTGAAAATACGAGGCGGCTCTGAGCCGGTTAAGATTCTGATTTGAAGAGGGAGATCTGTTTTTCTGTCCCCACGGCCGTAATTCTGGAACCCAAATCAACGTAGCTTCCCGTGGTTTTTTATTTTTATGATAGATAGATGATGGATGGATGGATGGATGGATGGATGGATGGATGGATGGATGGATGGAT